CTCCCTCCTCACTTCAGGAGAACAGGAGACACCTTTTGTGTCAGAAGGTGGAAAAATGGAGATGCCTGGTGCCATTTCAGGAGAGCATCTTCACTCCAGCCCCTTCTGCTTGATCTGCTTTGGCAGTTTGGGGGTATTTTGTAAAGGAGGAGGGAAAGCATTGGCAGTCCTGGTGCCGAGGTGCTGCGGTGCTCCCCTGCCATTTCATCAGGGTGAAGGGGAGGGTCCCCTCCTCCCCGCCGGGCTCCCACCCACATCTCCATGTCCCCACAGCCGCCTGCACGCAGGCACTTACTGAGTTTTCGCCTGTGGATTTTTGTTGAAGTTTTCTTTGGGCCCAATACAGCTCTTGGGAAGGACTCCTCTGTGTTAGCCCTTGAAAAAACTCCAGTTCATTTCAATTTATCATTTGCCCGAGTATGGCAAGAAGAACCTGGCTCAGGTTTCATCGCTCAGTTCTCCAGCTGCAGAAGTTGTTCATCACAGGAGCTAAAATTGAAGCTTTGCTGTTTGGACCTTTTTTTTTTTCTCTTTTCCCTCTCAAATGCTTAATTACTGCTCATTGTGAGGTTATATATCCGTTTGTCCTAATTTTTCCGACGGGCATAAATCCTGATTTTGATTGAGCTCCTTGAACATAACACTTAGTATTAGTTTTGGACATTTTAATTTGTTTTGCTTTTCAGGCAAGTTCCACTCTTGCTCTGAAGCAGCACAGAGGAGAATGCCAGTTGGCAGTGTGTGTGCTGCCTTGCTGGGTGCTCACTTTCCTGCCCCAGCTTGGGACATGCTCCCCTCCAGGTCACCACAGACCCCGAAAGTGGCCAGGAGCTGGGGCCGGTGCTTTGCTCGGTGTAGTTGTACCCATGGCATATGGGGAGGACAAGAGCCCGTTGGGCACAGGGTGGGATGTTGGTGCAGGAGCGACAGCGCAGGGCTTTGCTGTTGGGTTTCATCATGCTTTCACTGGGGTGTGCTCCACCATTGGTGTCTTCTGTTCCTTCCCACTGTCCCATCCAAGAGTGGCTCCTCTGCTCACTCCTGTACCAGTGTGATGCAGGATGAAGTCACTCAGTGCCTTCCCCTGCTCAATGCACTACCAGGGATGTTAAAGTACAAACAACACCGACTCTGAGCATCAACTTTTGCCTGCCCTAAAATTTCCCAGACAGCTCTGAGGCACGTGCAACGTTTTCCAAAGCTCTCATATACACAGGACTAAAGGGTTTAGTGGGATGCAATGGAATATAACTCCTCTTTGGGGCTGAACACGACAGACGCGTGAATAGCAGCTGGTGCCTTTCCTCACACGCTGCAGCTGAAGTGTCACTTTTTCCCCCCAAACCAACATCCTTTAGTCCTGGGGGCTGGGGCCACACTGGATGGGAGCAGAGGAGGGGTTCAGACAGAGCAGTGTGGGTCTCACCGGGGCGGGTGGGATGGCCGGGGCACTTCAAAGCAGGCAGGCGGCAGCGGCCGAGCGCGCAGCCCCGGCCCGAGCTCACGGGGAGTGCATTTTCGCTATTATTTCAATTATTACAACTTCCTGAATAGGTTGAAGGTCGTTCATAATTCACGCTTCTGTCATCTTTACACATGCCAAATGCAGTCTATTAAGCATAAATAAAATTTCAAGTGCCTGACCAGGAAAAGTAAACTGGGATTCATAACAATGGGGCCTTATTCATCCATTTAAAAGTAAATTGTGTGTGTTCCTTTTTTTTTTCTTTCCCTCCCCTCCCCTTTCCCTTTATGGCTTTGCAGTTTGGGAGCTTTTATTTCTGCTCGGTAGCATGAATATATGACCTGTGGTGTAGGCAGGCACAGAGGACTGATGAGTTAGGCCTCCCCCAACTTCTCCCCACCTCAGACCCCCTGAACTTTGAAAGTGTTTCCAGATCTGGATCCGATTTTGCTCTTCCTATATAAACTGCAGTCACACACCGCTGATCCCAGGGCATGTGAAATGTGCATCTGGACTTTGCTGTTATTTATTTATATATATATTTTTTTCTCCCTCTGGTTGTTTCTCTACCGTGCAGCAGCTCTTCCTCTACTTCTCAAGGCAAACTGGTGTGCACTTGCACGTCATGAGCACAAGTTAACCCAAGAAAGTCAGGTAACAAAACAGCCTTGCTAAGCTGAAGAGGTGAAAGTCAGAAAATTAAAAACCTTTCATTAATTACGGTAGAGTCAGGACTGCGTCCAAGAAATGTTCAAGCTTTGCAATTGAAAAGTCCATTTATTCTGCATTACTATTTCTTAATGCAAAGTATCTTCTACGGTAGAGGCTGATGTTGCTGCAAAGCCAGGGCAGCCAGGAGGGGACCTGTGGGATTGGGGGTAATTTAGGAGCTTTCCCATGTGGGGACTCACAGGACCCCCACGCTGTCTGCCCTCACTGGGCTGCTGCTGCCTAAAAATTCAGGCAACGTGGTTCATTTCCACAGGACACAATTAGCTTCTTGAGTTTTCTCAGACAGGCTAATTCCAGGAGGTTTTAGGTGGGAAGAGTGAGAAAAAACGCTTTTCACGTGAAGTAACAAGGACAGCTATTAAAATCAGATTAAATTTACCTCCATAATCATTTTGGTTTAAAGTTCAGTATCTTTTGTTTTAGATCTTCACTGGAGCGCAATATGGTATATAAACTATTATTACAGGAGGGGGTTTTTTTGTGCATACAGAAATTAAAAAAAACCCCCTATTTTTAATAATAATTAAAGTTAGTATTTTAATAATAGTAATAATAATGTTAAAATACCAGAGCTGGAAATCTGTCACCTGGGCCTTGCTTTGAAGGGCGTTAGTTCTGAGATGCAAAATAAAGGAATATCACTCAACCTAAAATATGGAGTTTTTTTGGGATACTCCATCTTGTCTCCCTGCTGAGGTACAGAGTGGCTGACCAGGTAGTTTCTGATGGGTAGCTTAATCATCTCGGATATTTTCAAATACCAACATAGAGAGGACAATTGACTGCAGAGTTTATACCCTGCTTAGGGATTTGTCCTACAGCTGCAAGAAAGGTGCTGCATTGTACCTACGGGGCTTCCCAAAGAGAAGCGACGCACCCCAGCACAGCGCTTCGTGAGCAAGACCCTCTTTAAAAACAAGCATCGCTTCAAGCAAATATTCATCGGATACAGCGGTGACATCAGATTTATTTGCAAGAGTTAAAAGTTGACTTCACTTAAATGTGTTTCGACCTTTGATCAGATGAGTTGCGTTGCCCCAGCTGTGTTCCCGGCACGCTGAAGCCCACGCAGCAGCCCCGCGTCCTGCGGCACCGATTGTGGCATCGGCTCCGGAGGGGATTTTAGTACCAGCCATTTATCTGGCTGTATGAGGAGACATGCATGAGACCCTACCATGGCTTTTTTGACCCCTTGCACCCTCCAAAATATTCGATGGAGTTTGAAATCCCAGCAGCAAAGGGGAAAAATGTCAAGGTCAAGCAGACCCAGCTGATGGTTTGACCAGGGAGGTGCAGCTTGGGCACATCAAGCTGCCCATAAACTTTCTTCTGGCTTTTATGGGGAAAATTTGTCATAAGCAGGGGGTTGTAGCATCAGCACATTGTGCTCGATGTGTTTTACCAGAGCTTCCAGCACCTGGAGAGGGACGAGCACCAGGGTGGTGGGACAAGCTCACCCTGGCACCCTTCACCACCGCTCCCTGGAATGCCTCCTCCAGAGCAGTTTTTGGGACAAGGTGAAGAAAAGAAAACAAATCTGAGGAACTACATCTTGTTTCGTTATTTTTAGGTATTTAGCCCATATCTGTGGGCAAAGGCTGGTTGTGCAGAAAGAAATGCTGAGGCTGTACGGCCACCTCCTGGAGGACATGGGTATGTGCTGCTGGGGCCACCCGATGGGTGATGGTTCATGTGCAACCCAGCAAGGAAAATACCCATGGGCTCTGCATCCCCATACCTGCCTCGTGACAAACACATCTGTTTGACTTCAGCAGTGGAGGGGATTTTCTGCCTTTCTCCCAACGCACTGAAACGAATATTGAGAGTTAAGAGTTTGAGAGCGAAACGTTTAAAAATATATTAGCCTGAGAAAAACTCAAAGGCATCATTTTTTAGCGTAGGAAACATAGCTGTCATGTGTTTTTGTTTAACAAGGCCTGAGGAAGTTACTAATATTTATTTGAGCTGCTTTGTGGAGCTTTTTTAGTGTTCTTCACATTTACTGCTGAGACAGAAAGCAGCCAGATGGATTTTGGGAATTTCCTTTCGGCAGAGCTTTGCGGTGCCGACGTGCACTTGTTCTGGGTGCACAGACCCAAGGGAGTGTGATCCCTTTTCCCCCTGCAGCCTCCTGCTTCCCTGATGGGCTCCTTCCCAGAGCCTGATATCACGGTACAGAGGGACCAGGTACCACCAGCCGGGGTCACCACCAACAGCTTTGGCTGCTCATGGTGTTTCTTCATCCAGGACTGGTTTTTCCTTTGATTCCCATTTGAAGCTAAGGAATATATGTTGGTTTGTATAAACCTCTCACCTCACAGCTCCCTGGACTGTGTAGATGATTGAAATGAGGAGTTGGGTGCCTGTGGTTTAATCAGCAACATCTCAGGTCTGCTTTAGTACCTTTTCCCAAGGCAACAGGAGTTATCACCTTTACACGGGTCACTCAGGGATGTGTTTTATGGCTCCTTTGTACATGGGTTTGGTATAACCAAGCATGCAAATTGCTGGTGATATTTGCAGTCATCAGGCAGCTCATTTTGCAGCAGAGGCTGTTGAAAGCAATCATCCTTTTTATCCTCACAGAACCCAAAGCACCAACAGCTTTGGGGCTATAAGGAGCAGACCTGCTGTAGTCAAAGTCAGCACCTCTCCAGCAAATGGCAGCCAGCACCCACACCAGGATAGGGTCTGTCCACGTGGTTTTGAACCTGTAATACTCACCAGCAGTGGTTTATGTCTCTTTGCCTGTTGTGGTAGTCACATTGCTTTCTCTTTTTCTTTTTTTTCTTTTTTTTTCCAGATATTCTACAGAGTGGTAACAGACATTGAACCAGGAGAGGAGCTTTTACTGTTCATGAAGAGTGAAGATTATTCACATGAAACCATGGCTCCGGACATTCACGGTTAGCCACTCTTTATTGTCTGATCTAATAGAAAGTATCATTGAAATTAAGCAAAAAATTAGGGCTGTTTCTCTTCTGTTGGAATCCTTTTGAAATCTGAGATGGCTTCACTGCTGCCAAGGAGGAGAGCTGCACCCTGGTTGTATTTGTCTGTCTTCTGCCCTCCTGTTTCAGTGAATAAACTAATCTAATATTATCCCAACTCCTTTCATCCCCCTGAAGGGTGAGTCTGCTCTCAAAAGCAATGACAACGCTGGCATTGGAGGTTCTCTGTTTATTTTCTTCATCACTCCATCACACCAGCCTGGTCCAACCAAGGAGTGTAGCTTCATTCAGTGTTGCATTTGAATGCAACTGACTGTCTCTTTATTTGATGTTGCATTTTCTACCTGCTCATCTGGCGAGCTCTTGATTGCACAGTCGATAATTCTCAGCGTTGCATCCCTGCAACTCCTAATGTCATTCAGGTTTTACCCTCACTTACTCAAACCTCCCTGGCAGAAACAGATTTATTTCATTATTACTACTTCTGCAGATGTAACTGAGGGCAGTAGTAAGGCTTCAGGATGTAAACTTGATCATTTTGTGGGTATGACAAAAGGAGAACAAGAACCTTTTTCCCTTAAGAAAAAGGTAGGGATTATTAATTTATTTTTTATGTGGGGTTTTTTTGTTGTTTTGTTTTTTTCTTCCCATAATGGTAACTTTATTTATTGCTAAAGGTGTCCCCCTTTTCAAGCATAGTGTTTTCCATGCCTAATCCCTATGGTCAAGTACTTATTGTATAAATGACACCAAAGGAAATCTCTGCAGTCACACACAGGAATATGTCCCACAGGGATAATTTAGAAGCAGGCTGAGCCAAAGCATTGCTTGTGGACAGCAGACAAGACAGTCCTACGATGCTTTCTCTGGATCAACACAACTGTCAAGTAGCAACCAAGTGTGTACGTTTGAGATTTCAGGCAGGCACCACAGTGCCTTTCTGACTCAGAGCCCTGGGCATTTATATCTGCAGGGCAGGTAACACTGGAACCAAACCAAGGGCATCTGGCTCCTCATATAGACCATCAGTAGAAAATCCAGCAGAAAAAAATACCATGGGATGCTCTTCTTCTCCAAGTTTGCTTTTTTTTGGATTTTCTTCGGCTAATCTATTCTTTTGCAGGAATTGCTAATTAATGGAATGCAGTATTCACTCTAAAGTGATGCTCTAGTGGTCTTCTACGCTCATTTTGTGTAAGAAACGTGCTGCAACCAATTTTATGGAATTTAAAACAAGGCCCCCTGACTTCATTACCTCAACTTCATGTGTCTCTGGCTTACTTGGAACAGGGTTGGGTGCTGAAAAAGGACTCTGATGGAAATGAAGAGACTTTAAAAAACTCTATAAACACCCTTTTACCTATTTTAGATGGTGATGTTCATGTCTAAGTCAGTCTTCTTCATTCAGGAATGCACAAGCGGAGAACTTCCTGTGGATATCCACCTTAGACTCTGTATATCCCCATTGAGGATAGTATATAAACACTCTGACCTTTGTCCTAAGCCAGTGTTAGAAATCCCTACTGGATATCAGCCAGGCAATTAACAGGTAGTATCGCACTGTCAGATATTGTAGAATTAAAGCATTATTATGAAGTATTTTAAGGCATCCTTGTTTCTTTTGAGGTTCTTCTCTTTTTTAATGAATGGCCATTTATTTAACCACACTGTCATCAAACTCCTGATGGAGTGGTAGTTAAAAATGACTGAAGACTGATGTGGTCTCCCTGTGCCCAACCCCTTTGTCTTCCAGAGGAGCGCCAGTATCGCTGCGAGGACTGCGACCAGCTCTTTGAGTCCAAGGCTGAGCTTGTAGACCACCAGAAGTTCCCCTGCAGCACACCTCACTCCGCCTTCTCCATGGTGGAGGAGGACTTCCAGAAAAAGCTTGAGAATGAGAATGACCTTCAGGATGTACATGAAATCCAGGAATGTAAAGAGTGTGATCAAGTGTTCCCAGACTTGCAAAGGTAGGAGTAGATGCTTAAAATGTGATTAAATGAGGCAAATTCAGTAATGGCTTCAGTCAGATCACACGGGGCATCAGCCAGGGCAGAATCTGATACCTTCATCTTATATACAAACCAAAGGTGAAGATGAATAAGACTTATATGCAGGTTGGAGTTTCATGGCATAGAAAGCAATGGAGTCTCAATAAATGAGAAATTTGGTCCTTGTACTGAAGTCCTTAGTTGTGATCTTAAATTAAGAACTGGATCTTTGGTTGATCTGATCTTCAGCTGACATGAATTGGACTGGTTGCAGTGAAATCAGAGGAGTGATAATAGTTCAGGTCACCTGAGGTCTGAGCTCCTTATTTTTAGGTAGAAATAACTTAGAACATCTCCAAGTGGTGTTCACTGGTGTTACCAATTTTATCTTTGCAAACAAGCTATGCTAGTTAGAGGCAGGTTCTAGATGTTACTATAGATACATCTAGATGTTAATTTATATTTCTAGCAATATTGTCTTGAAACACTGGGGTTCATGTTTTTCTTTTATATATATATATACCTGTCTGTTTAAACAGATGCATGTTTAAACAGATACAGCATATGTCTCTGAAGTAAGCATAGAATGTAAACAGAAAGGACAACTCTCATGTGCTGAAGATCATTTATGTATCTCCTGTCCCTATAGTTTTTGTGGCTACTTAAAATACCGTATTGAGGTGCAGATCATGGTGAATTTTGCAAATTACTGAAAGATGTTAAGAGTACACAGGAGCTTCTGCAGCACATCCCTCTCAGAGTCACCTCTTTCAGGACCAGGGGAAGGTTGACCTCAGCCAACATTTGATAGTAATGCTGAGATATCTCAATAGCAAAATCCTGGGCCTGTGATGAGGCAGTGCATTTCTTAGGAAGCTGGTTTATAGCAGTAGCAGACCTGGGCCAGTATCTCCTGCGTTCAGCTCTCCCACACTGTCACAGTGTCTTCTTTCCTCTCTACATTGTGTGAGCACAACCTAAGTGACTCTTAACTGCCCTGTTAGGGACAGCAGTGTATTTATTTGCATTGCTTAATCATATGGCTTTTCAATATTGACTTGTTAATTTAAAGTATTTTGTGGGTTCATATTTTTCATAGAAATCTTGACTAGTCCACGATTCAGGATGTTGTGGTGCCTGTTAGAGGTTAGCATGGATTTCTGCATGCCCAGGGTTAGCCCCTTTGGGCAATTGCTCCTGGATGTTTCAGGTGCTGGTTCTGCAAGATGGAGCCCTCTCTCCCAAAACACAGACACTCCTTAGCTCCTCTTGATGGAGCAGAGGTGGCTCAGCATCACGTGGAGGGTGTCTCTGATCAGCATATTGTATGACCTGATCCTTAAATTTCTGCAAAATTAATGACACTGAAATTAAAACATCATGTGGCAAACATTGTTCCCCACATATTAGGTCAACCCTGTTGAGTAGGAATTTGTGCAGGTACAAGGTCTTACTCACCAGCTGATGTTGAGCAGTATGAGGCTCCATGTGTCTTAATTTTTAATCGGAGTGATTGATTTGGAAGGACTGATGTAGGTAGATCAAGTCAAAAGGGTTGCAGCATTGTGGGTGAGGAAGGACTGTAACATTTTTCCACGTTGTGAGTTATTCAGTGTTAAAGTTCTTCTCTGCCTGCGAACCAGAGGACGATATCTAACATATGGGAATCATTGAGGAAATGTAAATTTAGCTTAAAATATTAAATATTGAAGAGAAAGGGCAGAAAACAAAGAACGAGTCATCATAAATAGATGGGCAGTACTGTGAGAAAGAGTGAAAAATGAGAGAGAATGCAGTCATTTTCTGAACTCTTGAATTATTGAAAGGCTAATACACCACAAAGACAGTTCACAGCAAAAAAAGTACCGAAGTGTGCTATATCCAGGTTATATAAAACAAAAGGCCTGAATGACCCATGCTTGAGGGTGTGTGTAATTACATGGAGAAAGAGCTGAGCAGGAAGATGGAGATGTGGAGGCCAGGTCTGGCCAGTGCTGGCAGATCATGTAGCTGTGGCAGACGTCTGGGAGCTGGTGCCAGAGCCAGGGACAAGAATGTCTCTGAGTCTTAGGGCAAATTTGTTTACCGGGGTGTGATGGAGAGTCAATTGTTACAGCAGTATTAGGAGGGGAAGCCAGAATTATTTTTTCCCCCCCGAAGGAAGGAGGCTGAGAGGGGTAGAAGAAAAGAACATCCGCAGGGTGATGAAAGCATTTCCATTACCTTTGGCTAAGAATGGAGGCTGCTATTTGGGCTGCACAATCCAAATGAGACTCTAAACCCAGCAAGTTTTGTCCACTGATTCAGCAGAGATCAGTGGGAGCTTCATGTCAGGAAAGACTGATCCAGTTTGGTACTCCAGGCTAAAAATCCCAGTTTCCAGTGGCTTTTCTATGAATCCACTCTTACCTTATGTAGTGATCGTTCCTCAAACAATAGTGTGAGTTATGACTCTGTATGTGACCAAGCTATACTGTTGTTTAAAAATATGTATTTGCTACAAATGAATAATAAAACAGGAATTCAAAAAAAGCATAAATGATGGTGAAAATGAATTAAAAGATGTGCAAATTAGGTGGAGATTGAATACTCTACTAACAGACTGAATAAACTACTAAGAAATGAATGAATAAACAGCTCCACAGTTGAACACAGTTAATAATCAAGTATAACTTCAGATGTAGTGTACTGTATTTAGAGGCTTCTGATGCTCATCCTGTCCTGTGGAGTTATTCCTCACCTATTCCTGCTGGGAGAAAAACTGACTTCCATCAGAGGAGTGGAGTTACGTCAAGTGGTGGGATCCAAGGTGTGTTTAGAGGGAAAGTCATAAGGTAGAAATAATTCAGACTGCAGGGAAGAATTACCAGAGTGAAATACTGAGAGATGTATGAAATAATCTCCTTAGGGAGCAATGGCAGCAGCATCTCCTGGAGCATTTGCAAGTGGCCTGGGAAAACATGAGAAGTTGTGTTATTCTGGTAGGGAGGAGGATGTTCTGCCTCCCAGCTGGGGTGAGCCTGGTACTCAAAGGTCTTGGATCTGTCAGGACTGGGCCTTTGGGGGTTTTTTAATTTTTTTTTAATTTATGTAATTATGTGCCTTGCTCTCTCCTCTCTGCTGATAAACCCACATGTGTGTGTGGGACCTCACTGAGCCCTGTTCTTGTTTCCACAGCCTGGAGAAGCACATGCTGTCACACAGCGAGGAGAGGGAGTACAAGTGTGACCAGTGCCCCAAAGCTTTTAACTGGAAATCCAACTTGATACGTCACCAAATGTCTCACGACAGCGGGAAGCACTATGAGTGTGAAAACTGTGCCAAGGTACAGTGAATTTGTAGGCTGCCTGGCTCTTCTTGTGCTGCTGGATAGGTGGGAGCATGGAAGTAGGTATGCCTGGGGCTGGGATGCAGGAGGGCATATGGCTTTGGCCATGCTCCAGATGGTTTCTCAAGGGTTTACATTTCATAAATATGTTACTTTTCTACCCCTTTTGATTTGGAAATGGCTTGTGGAGTCTGATGCAGGATGCTGAGCATCCACCAAACTCCGGGCTTGACACCTGGTGAGGACTGGTGGGGTGTAAGAGGGTCACTGAGGGGCAAGAACCCCTGGGGAAGTGCAGGGTGGGTGGGTCCCCAGGCTGTTCCCCAGCCATCAGGACCAGAAACTTCAGGACACTACTGCAATATAAATCAAACTGAGAAATAGCGTTGGGTCCAGCTGTGCTAAGGGAGTGCAACTCTCATCTCTGGAGCATCCCTATCACTGCCCAGCACCCAGCTTGCTGTGTAGATTATTTGTATAGGATGTGATGCTCTGCATTGCTTTTTGCCATGTTAACAAAGCTTGGGCCTTTTACATGAGGACTTTCTTGGTTTTAAGTAGATTTGCTGCAATAATGGGAATTTTATATTGAGCTGACATGCATATGATGCAACCCGAGGTGCTGGGACCATGTTATGTACAGGATTTCTCACTGTCACACACTCAGTTGTCGCTATAAAATATTTCTATTGCAGTAATGCTTAGAGGTTTCAAGCAGCCACATTTAGACTCATTTTCTGTGAAGTCCCTGACCTCAAAAGCCCAATTTCTAATGGCAGGGTCAAATGCATCTGCTGCACCGGCTGCCAAGGGGTTAACAGACCCACCAAATACTTGGCTGATCCTGGGAAACTGAGGCCCCATCCTGCAGGCACAGCTCCCATTGATACCCATTAGCGAGGTTTTAATCTTAAATACTCCCAAATAGCTCCAAGGTTTGAATTTTAAAAGGCTCTTGTAATAACTGGCTTCTTCTGCAGTTAAGTTTCTTGGTTAATCAGTACTCATTTCCTAGCAGGTTTTCACGGACCCCAGCAACCTTCAGAGGCACATTCGTTCCCAGCATGTTGGGGCTCGTGCTCACGCTTGTCCAGAGTGTGGCAAAACCTTTGCCACTTCTTCAGGCCTCAAACAACATAAACACATCCACAGCAGTGTCAAACCTTTTATATGTAAGTCTTCAACTAAACGTCTTCGGTTAAGTGTTGTTTCTTTTGTCGTGAAGCAGCATAATCTGGAAGCAGGAGGTTGTTTTGTGCTCCCTTTGAATTTCTCACCAGTTTCATGGGGGCTGTGAGTTTTTTAAATGAGTTCTGGGTAATTTGTAGTCTGATGCAAAGTATTGTTTTCATACAGTTTTCCTTTTCAGACAGACACTGTGCGCTGTATAAATGTACCTGTTGTTGCTGGGATATTTTTTCACGTACAGATGCAAAGGGTGGCAGGGTGGGCAGGGGAGAGTGTGGCAGTGGCTGCCACTGTAGTTGGGACACGCTGGGAATTAGGCAGAGCAAGCAGTACCTGGAAAACTGCTTTGCTTTAGGAGTTAATTTTGGGCCACAGGGTCTCCACAGTGGATGTCATGACTTTCGCTGGATTTGGAAAATAAACCTTAGGGGCAGTGAATTTCAGTCGGAGGAGCTCGCTGCCCTCCTTGAGGCTCCTTCACATGCCCCAAATTTAAGGATTGAGTTGAACTATTAGATCTTGGCCAACAGCTGCTCCAGCAATAAAACTTGCCACGTATGTGGGCCTGACTCTGGGCTATAAATCGGATCCTCAAAGTCTCACGGGTTGTGTTTACCACTGAGCCAGATCCTGCTAGGAGATGGGGAAGCTGGGTGCACGGAAGCATTGCAGGTTGCTTTCTCTGCCTTTCACCAAGGAAGCAGAGGCAGAAAATATTTAAGAATATTGCTCTTGGTAGTGCTAATCTCCACCACAGTCTTTTCAGGCACCTGCTATGGCTTGAAAGGCACCTTATCACTACCTCCTCTACTTATCCACTAAACTTCTTATTTTTTTTCTGCTCTCAACAATAAGTTACCAAAATATCAACACCACACCTGGACAAAGCAGTGGCTGCACACTGAGATAATTCCTCAAGAGAGGGAGTATTGGCTTGAAAGACTCATTTGTGTGAAATCCATATACCTGCCATGGGTTAGGTAATACTTTCGGTGTGGGCTTCTTCAATGAGAAAATGTGTAATTAGATCCAAAAATAAATATCATTGATAGTTTTTAAACCTGATTTCAGGTTAAGTAATTACACGTCTATATTATAATTATTAGAAAACATCAACTCCTGGTTAGCTAGGAAGTCTTCAGATGGTCCTGTTGCAATACCCTACATAAAAGTCTTATAAGTGACACTTCTCTTAAATGAAATAATCTCTCAAATGCTCGTTGTTACTATTTATTCTGATAAATCAAAACAGCAACCGGTATTCTTCATATGTACAGTGTGAGAGATGAAAACTTATTGAGCAACCTATGAATAACAGCCATGTAATTGCAGAACAAAAGGGTTTGGAGACCACATGTTTGGTAGGCTTTGCTGAGCAATGGGAAGGAGGTAGGGTCACCTAAAGGAGATATCTGTTTTCCACCAGAAGGCCACACACCATGATTTACTCGTACCAGTCTGTTTATGGCAACTGTCTCTTATTACAGTACGCTGCCCAAGCTTGAGTGAAAACTCACCAACACTAAGGTAATTACTCACTGCGTTCACAAAATCTCCAGCCTCTCCAAATAGAAACCACATGCCATAATAGACTGAACATATTCAAAATAGTACTTACAGTAATTTTTTTTAATGAGCAGAAAATATGCAAACTGAACTGCAGGCTAATTTGGGATCCGGAGACAATCGCGGTCCAGAGTGTACATAGGCATCAGATGAATTTTTGCAATTTGGGAGCCAGGTTGGGAGTTTGTGTTAAAGCTAAGGTCTGTAGAGCAATAAAAAACTGTGAGGAGGGAAGCTTCCCTTACAAGTTATTGCTTAAAAGTATGGCACTGAGATTTAAAGGGTGTAATAAGGTGTAATAGGAGAAATCAAACCCAGCTCCTGTTGCTTTGATATGTGGAAGCAATTAAAGTTGATAACCATCCCCCATCTATTGAAGTTTTACTTGGAAATAAAAGTCATGCGATGACAAAGAGGTAGATCTCATAACACCAACTTATCTAGGGAATTCTGGCTCCTGAGAATATCCATGGAGGTCGAGGTAGAGCAGTTGATTTACACCCAGGGTCTCTTCCAAAATCAGCGGGACATTGAGTGTGTGCTTCACTGATGCCATGTCACACCCAGGCTTCAGGTGATGGTCCCCAAGAGTAAGACTGCTCGGGGCAGTAAGGGCTTCGGACCTGGCCCAAAATTTCTTTGTCAGTCTTGAGAGCCTGTGGATTGAATAGGCTGCCTGGTAAATGCGAGAGGCACCTTGAGCAAACAGCACCTCATTAAATTGTTTTTAAGTCTGCTCAAAAAGGTAAAGTCCTCAGTACAGCTGTTAATTGTTTGAGATTATAATAATAAATATTTTAATAGCATTCCCGTTATTGATTTAATTTAGTTTTAAAACAGAGATAAAATACATTCAGTGAAATGATTAATTTGCACCTTCCTTAATAGTTTGGAAGGATACCTCTTAATTTTAAGTGTGTATTTTTGCTTTTCTCCAGAGTAGAATGTTTCTTGGTTCTGTTGACTTTTGAATATATTAATGGAGAATAAGAATTTAATAATGTATCAGTGTTCTTTAAGGGAGAACTTCCCAAACTTCAGGAAGACTAAATCTGTGCCAATACACCCCTTTTCACCCACTTACCACTCTAGCCTACCTGAGTGAAACACAGTGTTTAATACAGTCATGTGAATAAGAAGCAGGCCCACAACACAACCTGGTAGAAGATCAAAAGTTCTCAAAACATGATTTGTTTTTAATTATAGCCCAGCTTTGTAAATGTGTGCACTGGAGATTTTTTTTTCTGGAAGATTGTATACAGTCTGATGCTCTGCTGCTATATGTTAGGCATAATTTTATCAATGTTTATAGAATTATTCTGCTTTACATAAGGAGAGGAGTTGGCCCATAATATTCAAGATAAAGCTTGTGCAAACCTGTGGATATGTCACTCAAGTTGTACCATTTTGGGCAGTTTAATTTTGGTTTCTTTGCTCAACCTGATGGGAGCAGGGGGAGTTTTTTGTGTAAAACCTCTACAGTGAAGGTAAGGGGCCTGATTCTGTACCGTGAAGTATAGAGGTGACTTATGGGAGCAGAAACGTTATGCCTGTGATTAGGCTAAAAATAAGAGAAAAGAGCAGAAAAAACAGAGCTTCATACTGCCACAAATAAACAACGAATTCTATATGAAACAAAAAATAGTTCTATGTTAAATAGGCAAAGAAAGTATTTTCCAAAAAAAAGAAACAGAAAGTACTTATCAAGAGAATATCAAGTATTTTCAAGGAACTAGAATAATTTTTCTTCTTTTCTTTTCTTTTCTTTTCTTTTCGTCTTTTCTCGGCTTGTCTTTTCTCGTCTTTTCTTTTCTCATCTTTTCTCGTCCTGTCTTTTCTTTTCTCGTCTTTTCTTTTCTCGCCTTTTCTTTTCTATTCTTTTCTCGTCTCTTCTTTTCACGTTTTCATTTTCTTTTCTTTTCTTTTCTTTTCTTTTCTTTTCTTTTCTTTTCTTTTCTTTTCTTTTCTTTTCTTTTCTTTTCTTTTCTTTTCTTTTCTTTTCTTTTCTTTTCTTTTCTTTTCTTTTCTTTCTCCTCTCTCCTCTCTCCTCTCTCCTCTCTCCTCTCTCCTCTCTCCTCTCTCCTCTCTTTTGCTCTCTTCTTCTCTTCCCTCTTCTCTCTTACTCTTTTCTTCTTCTCGTCCTCTTCTTTTCTTTTTTTATTTTTTCCTCTTCCTTGTCTCTCTTTTCTCTTTCGTTTCTTTTCCATCTTTTTATCTTTTTTCTTCTCTCTTTTTAATTTTATTTTTTATTTTCTCTCTTCCCTTTCTTGTCTTACCTTGTGAATGAAGATTTCCAGCAGGAACAGTAACTGATACACAGCAACAAACATTCTTCCTGAATTACCGCATTGCAAATTTCCTGTGTTTGGGCCCAATTCTGCACTCTTTACCCCACGAATTGTCCCAGGGATGTCAGTGAACAAGGAAAATGGGTGGATTGGGCAGGATCAGGCCCTCGAACAATAGGAGCATTGTTGCTGAGATATGAAGCAGCCTGCTGAAGAGGTAAACAGTTAAGAGATGACAACAAGTGGTCAAGTTTCTCAAGGGCAGAGATTGAGAGGAGCAGGAAGGTTAGCGCGGGCCCCGGTGCGAGTGGAAGTTAGAGGACGTGATTGCAGTTCATGGGAACCAAGAGTGCAGGATGGGATACATTCAATTCAGTTTCCTTTGCAGGCTTAAAATAGAGCCATTGTAAATTATGTCAGTCTGTCTCAAATCATGAAAATGATTGTTAAAAAGGCCTCAGAATACACAATGTGTATTGTTGTGTGGCTTTGATGTGTGAAAGATGAGAGCTTATGATATAACACAAATTAAATAAAAATAAAGTGGCCACATACTTTTTCCTGGCTGGGAAAAAAAAAAAAAGACTTTATTACAGAGGGATAACACTGCTTGTTGATAATGCTGCTGCCTTGTTTTTCAACAAGGCTGGAACTGATACTCCTAGAGGCAAGGTAGTACAGATGTACGGACAAATATTAGTATAACGAAGAGCACAAGACATAGTGCAGCCTTGGGACTTGCCCAATGCCCCTGCTTGTCCAAAGGATGCCAAAAGAAGATACAAAAAGGCACTGGGGAGCTGAGTGTTATCCTCTTCCAAACCACATTTTAACTTACAGGCCTGTAACTTGGTTGCTGCCCCAAATTGCTCCCTAAGGTTTGTAGCAGCCAGAAAATCAGGGACCTGCAAAATCCTGTTTGCTTCAGCGATGTGATTCACGCTTCGTGGTGTCTTGCCCTGCATCACTGGGACCACTTCCAGCCTCCTGCTACTGCACATGGTTGCTGGAAGCTGTGCTCTGCCATGCCAAGTGTCCCAGGCTAGATCAGACCCAAGAGCTCAAGGTGGGTCTCCTCCCCTCCCCTTTCTCCAAATGCTGCTTTGGTGAGGCTGAAGCTGTTCTCATCCCAGAGGAGTTGGGAAAGAAATCCATCAAGCTGTTTTGAGCATCAGACATGCAAATAAATACAACTGCATTCTTAAAGGAAATTGTTGTTGAAATATAGTGTGTTTTTTCATGTGCAAGACACAAATAAGCAATTTTAAGACTAGTGAAGTTATTTAGATCTGGATTTTCTAGTTAGAGCATCCCAGGCACCTGTAGGGACTGTACACATTATATGAATAGAAATGCTTTGGATATACAAGAGTACTAGACTGAGGTTACTCAGGCTCTAGCCTGGACTTCCATGAGATTAAAATCTTAATTGTAAGTGGGGAAACCTGTTGTTTGTTAATAAGGTTATGCACTTGGAAATACCTGATTGTCTCCTCCTTCATCTGTTTCATATCCTTCTAGTCTTGCAGACTGAAAGCTCTGTGAGGCAGCTCTCTCTATCTCCTGTCTGGTCCTGCAAATATTTATTTTAATGACTAACTTTCCATGTGTGAATAGTGACATAAATGGGTGTCATTTGAAGACACGAGTGCTCGCTCTCGCTGGAGCACCGTGGGTTCATACGGTGTTATAGCACCGAGCTGTGGCTCTTGACAGGGCTCTGGGTGCTAATGCAACATGGAATAACGGTACCAAATATGTGACACTGGGCAATGAAAAGAGCAAACAAGGAAACATTGTTTTTTAATGATTTCAGACCTTTTCTGGTTTGTGGGAGCGGGTTTTGGTGCTGTCTTTAGACATTTGTCTGCTTGGATGCCTTGCTTTGGAAGACTACAGTAGCTTTTTGTACCTTTGTGCACCCAGACTTCTCCTTTGCGGCTTCCCAATTGACATTTGGAGGGTAAAGAAATGGTGTTATTTGCAAAATTTTGAGGGTGGGGGCAATTATCATAAAGCCTGAGATGTGTTGTTGTTGTTGTTTACATACAGGTGAGGTCTGCCATAAATCCTATACTCAGTTTTCAAACCTTTGTCGTCATAAGCGCATGCATGCTGATTGCAGAACCCAAATCAAGTGCAAAGACTGTGGACAAATGTTCAGCACTACGTCTTCCTTAAATAAACACAGGAGATTTTGTGAGGGCAAGAACCATTTTGCAGCAGGAGGATTTTTTGGCCAAGGCATTTCACTTCCTGGAACCCCAGCTATGGATAAAACGTCCATGGTTAATATGAATCATGCAAATCCGGGCCTTGCTGACTATTTTGGAGCCAATAGGCATCCTGCTGGTCTTACCTTTCCAACAGCTCCTGGATTTTCTTTTAGCTTCCCTGGTCTGTTTCCTTCAGGCTTGTACCACAGGCCACCTTTGCTACCTACTAGTTCTCCTGTTAAAGGACTACCGAGCGCAGATCAGACAAACAAAAGTCAAAGTCCCCTCATGACAAATCCTCAGATACTGCCAGCCACCCAGGATATTTTGAAGGCACTAAATAAACAACCATCAGTAGGGGAGAATAAGCCAGTGGAGCTTCAACCAGAGAGGTCCTCTGAAGAGAGGCCGCATGAGAAACTCAGTGACCAGTCAGAGAGTAGTGACCTTGACCTTGACGATGTCAGTACCCCCAGTGGCAGTGACCTGGAAACCACCTCGGGCTCTGATCTGGAAAGTGACATTGAAAGTGAGAAAGAGAAATTTAAAGAAAATGGTAAAATGTTCAAAGACAAAGTAAGCTCTCTGCAGAGCCTGGCTTCAATAAATAATAAGAAAGACCACAGCAATCACTCAATTTTCTCACCATCCTTAGAGGAGCAGACTGCGGTGTCAGGAGCGGTGAATGATTCTATAAAGGCTATTGCTTCTATTGCTGAAAAGTACTTTGGTTCAACAGGACTTGTGGGGCTGCAAGACAAAAAAGTCGGAGCCTTACCTTACCCTTCCATGTTTCCCCTCCCGTTTTTTCCAGCATTCTCTCAATCAATGTATCCATTTCCTGATAGAGACTTGAGACCGTTACCCTTGAAAGTGGAGCCCCAATCACCCAGTGAAATAAAGAAGATCCCAAAGGGAAGCTCTGAGTCTCCCTTTGACCTCACCATAAAGCGTAAGGAGGAGAAGCCACTTACTCCCATACCCTCAAAGCCAGCAGCCCCCTCTGCAACAAGCCAGGACCAGCCTCTAGATCTCAGCATGGGCAGCAGAAGTCGAGCCAGTGGCACAAAACAAGCTGAGCCTCGGAAAAACCATGTCTTTGGAGAAAAGAAAGGAGGTGACCTCGAGCAAAGGAAAGCTTCGGAGTCCTCCTTGCAGCACGCCAGGCCCACCCCCTTCTTTATGGATCCTATTTACAGGTAAAGGACTGTCTGCTGCCTTTCGGTATCCTTTGGTCCAGGCAGTTAGGTCTGCCAGGGACACTTGTCTGCAGATGCAGGACAACCCTCTTCCCATCCCACCATCCCTGGAGGCATCATCCCACCACCGAGGCATGGGGTGGCCCAGGCTGCATGCTGACCTGTACACCCTCCTCAAACCCAAGCTGCTCAGAGCAAACTTCGGGTCCAGTAATGCTGCAGTTTGCAAGTCTTCATGACTGCCCTCGTTTGCAGTGAGCCATTAGTTTAACCTAAATTAGAGAACATCTCACCAGGGTGGCAGTTGTACACTGCCTTTTAGTTCCTCCTGAATTAAATACACTTATATCATAAGTACAGCAAATTTGTCCTGAGGTGTATAAAAAGCATGGAAATTGAGAGTAATTTCTGCCCTTTTTTGCACTGATTTGAGCAATGAGTTGATTTATCTGGGCATTTCATTAATAGAATTAAAAAGACACAGTGTCCTTGCGTGTCCAAAGCCTCACCAGTGAGCTAGTTCATCTGATCTACCTTATGAAATCAGTGGGAACCTTGTCAGCTTTGATGGGTGCACAAGCAGACGCTGTCAGTGAGCTGAGGTTTTAAAAACCAGTGGTAAAATCCTCATCTCTCAGTGTTTCCTAACAGTGCTGAGATGGATCTTACTGGGATCAGGATTTCACCTGCATCCTGTGTACGTCAGCCCCTCTTTGCCCTCCGCCTTTCTGCTCGTATATCTGTAACTAGCCGAAGTCACGCATCTAATTAGTTTAGAGAAATATTAGCCATAAAAATATTTGTCTGTGATATAAATGACTGATTTTTACAGCCTGTTGTTAAAAAAAAAAATTACTGCCATGTAAATTATGTTAATTTATTACTTTATCGGAAAAAGAAATGCTATGGGCAAAGTTTTTGGAGGCTGCTCTCACATAAGACACCAGGTATGCATTATGGAGAAACAGGATATGATGCTATTTACTGAGATGGGTTTATTCATGCCAGATTGATATCTGTATTAGACCACAGGTTTTCTTTACGTCATATTCATTTTAAATGCCCGAAGCAGTGGAAATAATGATCCGTGTTTTATGCTCCTGCATTACAAACTCATGAAATCTGTCCAAACTCTGGCAGTGTAGCACAAGGCCAGTTTTCACCTGAGCTTTCCTTTGCCATGAGTTACATCTACATATGGACAACAAGATCAGTCCCTTAAACCATACACATCAGTAACAGAAAAAGCAAAAAAACCTCCAATTCCCACACTGCTGCTGAATTATCTGTGCTGTATTTCACCGTCTAAATGGCCACGTGAGTTGATCACAGTCTTTATTGCTGGCATATCAGATTCAGTGTGTTCCTACAAGCCCACCTGTCTCATCCTGGTCATGCATGGCCGTGCACAAGGAGAGGTTTTCAGGATGGTGGCTGTGATGTCTCACATGAGCAGAGGAGAAGGGACCCATTGCTCAAGGCTCCTGTTGCCTTGAATTCCTCTGCCCTGAGTGGAGAGCAGACTTGGTTGCCTTATTTCTCAGTAGTTAGTAATTGGTTTCTGTTATAATTATAATAAGCCCAAAACATGGCTCTTCTAACTACTGAGAAGAAAATTAACTCTATCCTAGCCAAACCAGGACAACTGGTCTTTTGAAATGGGGTTATTTCCTGTGTAAATTATATATTCTCCCTTTAATGGCAATTCACAGACCCTACCCGCAGTAATGGGTTGTATGTGGGCATTGAGAGTTGACTATACTTCCTTATCTTTTACTGTTATCTCTGAGAAACAAATTACTTGATGTATAATTGACTATTTTAAACATGAGTAGCTGTGTAATTATTAATATATTGAGACTGATTCATCACAAGCAAATCTAATTTTAACATTTACAGAGTAGAAAAAAGAAAGTTAACTGACCCACTGGAAGCTTTAAAAGAGAAATACTTGAGACCTTCCCCGGGATTCTTGTTTCATCCACAAGTAAGTATTTTGGGAATTTTGATGTTGTAAACAAGCCTGTTGATGTTTCAAAGCAGGTGCAGAGAAATGAATGCAGTCTTAGTAATTTTTGGATTTCCTAGAACACACAGTTTTTGCAGTACCATTGTGGTCAAAAAGCCTAAGCATTGTTCTGAGCTTCTTGATGTTTTGCAGATGAAACAACATGTTTTGATTGTAGAGGAAGCCAGATTCAAACTACATGTATTTTTTAGAACCGTGTTCCTCCGAAACTCTAGTGTAGCTATCAACACTTGAAACTACCTGTGTCTTCTTCAGCACTCTCCCATGCTCTGGGCCATTGCGGTGGAGTCAAAATTGACTACAAGGAAGCAATGTAGATTCAAATTCAGGCCAGCAAAGCTGAGCATCCCAGTTGTCAGTATTTAGGGACTCCCAGAAAAAGAGATAAAACTTTCCACCCAATGCTTTCAAGTCTCATAATGCAAAAACTCCAACTTTTTTAGGTGGCTTTTGTGGGCTGTAGCATGTGCAATGACTTTGTAGGATCCCTACTCCTCCGTACCTGAAGACATGCTATATGAGAGGGCTGCTGTCTTGTTTATAGGCCATAATCCTGCTGCTTATTTGCTAAATAAGAAGAATTTAGGAGAGTGTCCCTAAAATGATGTAACAACTGCAATGTGTATGTAATATAGAAAGAAGACCTGTATGCAAAGTGTACGGTGCTTTTCTTCAACAGCACCGCAGCCTCATTTTGCCTTCCTCCTCCTTGCTAAAGGAGATTTTACTAAAAATTTGTGTTATATCTTATGCCTGAAACAAAATGCTCTGTGGTATTTTCAAATTTGAAGACCTTGCTGACTACAGGCTCTTTCATCCTGGTAATGACACCCTGTACATGTGTTGTATATTGAGCGTACAACCAGGAGCTGCTGTTTCTGGTTCAACTTCCTCTGAATTCCTGGGCAAACCATGCCAATAATCTGCCACCACTTGAATTTTTTTATTTATTTTTTTTTAATTCCCAATGAAGTCAACAGTTGTTATGTCCTAAGTTGGATAGAATATCTTCTGAAATATGGGACTTCTGGAGACCTGGGAAGAGCAGTTGATGGCATATACAGGTTCAGATGCACAAACGTAATGCTATTTCATGGGTGGAGAGTGCAGAAAAACACCCTGTTCCATTTCCAGTGCATGAAGGAAGTGATGGATCTATTGAGTATTATGGTCACTGAGAATTTGTGTAGAAGGTTTAATAGCAGCTCAGCACCTCTTGCTGAGTTACCTTATTTGCAAAGTGAAAAGTAACAATTCCCATTTCATAGCAGATAGTGCTAATTCACAAATATACAAACAGGAGCTCAGTCCTCTTTGTAGCCCCGGGCTGGTTCCTCTCCATCAAGTGAGTGATTCTGTTAGAGCAGCTAAGGTGCTATAAATTAATAGCAAATTATTTAAATGAGGGCATTTTAGGTGCTGTATCGATGGAGGAAAATACTATTTTGCTTAGGTTTTTCAAAAGGTGGAAATTGATGTCCTTTAGTGAAGGTGGATTCAAGGGCTCTGAAGGTTTTGCTGCAGGCTGGTCTGGTGATCACAGAATCACAGAACTGCCTAGATTGGAAAAGCCCTTTAAGATCATCAAGTCCAGTCATTAACCCAACACTGACCAGTCCCAAACTAACCCATGTCCCTCAGCACTATGTCTACACGACTCTTCAATCCCTCCAGGGATGGGGACTCCACCACTGCCCTGGGCAACCCCTTCCAATGCCTGAGAACCCTTTCAGCAAAGAAATTCTTCCTCACATCCCATCTCAACTGCCCTTGGTGCAACTTGAGGTCATTTCCTCTTGTCCTGTCACTTGTTCCTTGGTTGAACAACCAATGGTGGCAGTAGGCAATGTGTGGTCAGTGGGTGAGAAAAGGGGCTGTTTGGCTAAAATGCACTGTTAAGAGTTTGTCTGTGGTGGGTGGGGAAGGAGTTGGATACTCTTCTATGTAGAGTTGTATGACTTTGAGTCGCATGGGGAACTGGAGGAGGGTTGATGGGAGTTAGGCCAGCATGCCATAGGTGTGCAGGTGACATGGAGACATTAGCAGGCAGGATACCAGGATTTCACCCTTCATGGTTTTTCACAGGGAGTTGTTATGCCATAGGTGTGCAGGTGACATGGAGACATTGGGCATTTTGCCATTAACGGGCAGGATACCCGGATTTCACCCTTCATGGTTTTTCACAGGGACTTGTTCAATCTATTGTTGGTGCCTGAGGAAGGTCCCAGTGTGGTCACCGAGTCCGTCAGGGTGAGCAGGAGATGTGGGCTGGCACCTTCTTGCTGTGGTGCCCACTAGGGTGGGCAGAGCCCGGACCCCTTGTCAGGAGGGAGGGTTAGTCGTGCACCTGCATTGCTGAAAACATGCACAAATATGCTCATTGTACTTTTTTGCCCATTTCTCCACATTTCTCATTGTGCAATAGAAAAAAAATAATCCATAGTACAATCTGGCTTTTGTTTTATTGCTTACTGAGCTGCTGAGGAGAACATCTTTAACTTGGAGTGAGACGGAGGGATACAAAGGTCATGAGTGTAATATGTAGTCTTAATACATTGTAAAAAAACCCCAAAAAACCTAAACCACCATCACATGTCCTGTCAAAAGAGTAAATGCCAAAATCTGCTTTCTTGCTGACTTTACTAGAAAAGAGTCTCCTGTTTGAAGAGGCAGAATTCGGTTTGGTATTTATAGAGGACTGGGGAACAGCTTGCAGAGAAGCTGTTTGGCCTTTATAGTCCTGTTCACCCCTGTAAAAGCACAGGTGTGGAGTGCACTGCAAGTTCTCATTTTCTGCTGGCAGGAATTACCTGTGTGAAATATGAACAAAATGATTGTTCATGTCCTACAAATTTGTGTTCCTGTAGGTGAATTTATTTCTGAAACTTGCCATCTGATGAAGTAGAATTATTTTTATTTTTTTTCCCACTGGATAATACAATAGCTAACAGATGGATCTTTAAAACAGGTTTCTCAAGTAGAGATTAAGGACATAAACCCCACAGTCCTTACCCTGTCCCTACCTGGGCAAAATTCCTCCCAATGGCAGTGGCTTGAAAGCTATGAAAATTAAATCATTTAGCAGTATTTCACAATAATTTCCCATTACAAGGATTGCATTTTTAGAGAGAGAATACCCCAATGCAACAAATCATTCAGAATAACATTTTAAGTAGTACCTTTAAATAAAATCTTAATTAATAGATTGATTGCAATGAGGGTTCCAATGCAGGAATAATGTGTTGTTTTTGTTTCAATTTTGCTCCCAGTTCCAATTGCCTGATCAAAGAATTTGGGTAAGTTCATTGCTTATATTTTTGATTTAATCATTGTGAAATAAATTGCATAAGAAAAATATAATATGAAAGATAACTTACCACTCAATTATGGAGCATGCCAGGCTTTCCTACAGAGGGTTGTAGCTGTAGCAGATAAATATCCTCTTATGTTAAATTGGCTTTATTTTTACCTGCCTAATCTTGCTGGTTTTATTTGGTGAAGGCAATGGGAGCTTTACCTGAGTGAGGATTTAAAAATGCAGTCTTTGTTTATATTTAACTGAAATTGTTCCAAGCTGTTTCCTTCAGAGATTGCAGTGAAATTTTCAGGCTGAAATCTTGTTAGATTGCAATAGTTACAAACATTTAATCTGCATTTCCAACATTAAAATACAGAGCCTGAGAGAACTTCATGTTTCTATCTCGCTTTGACTTCAGTGGGAGTTAGTCACTTTAATAGCTTTGAAGTTTGGAGCTTAATTGCTCGTTGCTGTACTTCAAGCAGAAATAAAACACCCATTTATTTGCCGTGTTTGGGACAAATTTGTCCTGTGTGCGTACTGACATTGTCCCCCTTACATGTACAGGAATTGTGCTTTTAGTACTATGGGATAAATTTGAGCTTGCTCTTCTATTTTTATAAAACATTATTTTAATACATCTAAGTTGTTTATGAAGAAAAAGAGTCACAGCAACTGATTTTGCAGATGCAACTCAACACCATGTTTTGCTCTTGCATTACTGGCTCCTCAGCTGCAGCACTGAACCCATAAATACTTCTCCCAGATTTTTCCCAACCTTTGGAAGGGAAGAGCTGGAGCCAGCCCGGCTGCAGCTCGAGTCCTGACTCACTCTCGCTCATCACTCGCAAGGAGACGTGGACTAATTACACAAGACAAAGCCAGAATGTCACAAAATGAGATCTGAGATCTTCATGTACACTTTCCCGCGTGTGTCTCTGTACGGGGCTCATACAGAAGCCCTCAAAGGTGCTGCCCCTGCAGATTGGCACTTAGCCCTGCTCTCCTCCATCCATGGCATGCTTCAGTCCCAGCGACACACCTTTGCCTTGCATACACCTGGCTTTTAATCCCATTTTCCTCCTGTAAAGCGTTGGTTTATGCAGCTGCAAAGGTCCATTAGGATCCTGGGATGAAAGGAGCTAAGCAAGCACCAAAGGGACTCCTGCGAGCACCCAGAGATGCTGAATGAGCTCAGCAGATGGGAGGTAGGGTTAGATGCCAGACTTGGAGAGCACAAGAGGTGGTTCCCAAACATTTTCTTTGCAGTAGAGGGAATTCAGTGTAGCAGGTGAAGGGGTCTACGGTAGGATTTGTGATTTGACCTGGACACCCTGAATCTGCTCTCAGAGAAGTATCTCTGTTTGGGCATATTTGGGAAGTTGAAAAACCCAGTGCAGTCTCTTCCTTCTGTCTGCTTTCCTTGACACTGGCTTGGTCTTCAGATTTCCATCATCCTGCTTATTTTTTCTTCTTTTTTTTTTTTTGAGCATATATCTCCTGGCCATGCTGGTGCTTTGAGCAGCTGCAGCAGAAATAGGTATTTAAAACAAAGTGCCTAGAGCAGGATGCTGATTCATAGATGAATCTTCATTGTGAGAGATTTGAATATGTCGCATGAGCCTTTCTATCTCAATTCACAGTTGCATGTGCCATATATTTCAAGATTATATCTGGCTGTTTTTCCTTGTCTGGCAAGAACCCTGTAGTGCAAATCAATGGGCAACACCCCAACACATTCTCTTGAATTTGTCACGATTTATTTAGCCTATAGACTCATTCCCTTCTGGTCCCATCAAAAGAAGGTTGCTATAAAGAGGTTCAGACTTTATTTGCAGTAGCTTTATGGAGAATCATTGTCAGTAAGTAAAATAATTTTACAGATAAATAGAAAGGAATTTGGTGAGTGTGTTAACAAAGCTTTTATTTTACTCGGTTTATTTTAGGACACGATCCATTCTATTAGATCAGCTAAATCCCCACCAACTGCATTAATACAAATAGTTATTCTGGAACTATACTGCAGGTCAGCAGGAGTTTCTCACTACTGCTTCGTAAAGCTCAGCCACGTGTGATAGATCTCTTGAATGTGAATATAGCTCAGCCAAGTTCCATGGCTGGATGTCCAAATACGCACAGTTTTAAGACAACAAATTCACAAGTCATAGTTTTTAGAGAAAGCATTATAATTTGAACTGGGGAAGAAGAAATCCTGAGCTTTAGTAGTTGGATTTTTGAGATTTCTCGAAATAACACTAGTAAAAATAGAAAGCAAACATTTGAACAATTTTTTTCCCATGAGTTACAGCCATAAAGTCAGTTGTTTTTGCGATAATAGCAATGAAGGAGTCGCATTTGTGAAACATGAGGTCATGTAATTCATGACATTGTCTGCTAGATTATTTCATATCATCAGGTTATTCTTAAAAAGCAGCAACAACAAACCTTTGCTTTATTTACGCCACTTCTTCTGTTGGTTAATAAATTTTAAGACAGATATATTCAAAGGTCCCTGCTGATGATATCTTGCCCATTGAAATGTTTATAAATACTTGTTTTAGCCGATTATGGTAATGTCTGCATTTTTGAGTCGGAGCTGGGGAATTGCGACTGCATATTAGTGTGCGTCAGTAGGAGGTTAATAGCCTCTCAGGGAGCAGGAGGGAGGTGGGGGAAAGCTGCTTCCTTTTCCAGACATCTGGATGCAGATAGAATCAACAAGTCTTATATATGTAAATCAAAAGTTACTCTTCTATATAAAATACGGTCATTCACTGATCTCAGATTAGGAGCAGACTTGACTTGTCCATAAGGCCATAACTGTATGTGAAATATGTAATAGGATCTTCTCGCTCTCCTACCTTCTTGGAGAGCTTTCTCCATGTACATGGCATTACACTGATCTCATCCTTAGAGTCACAGACTCACAGAATGTTGGGGATTGGAAGGGACCTCAAAAGATCATCTAGTCCAATCCCTCTGCCAAAGCAGGAACCTAAACGAAATTGCACAGGAAGACGTCCAGGCGGGTCTTGAATGTCTCCAGAGAAGGAGACTCCACACCCTCCCTGGGCAGTCAAGCTGTGCCTTCCTCTCCATGCCCTGTTCAGGAATTGCTGCAGTCCTTGGGTGCTTGACTAGCATGCACATCCCTCCTGAAGGCTCTGCCTGCCAGCTTGACCCTCATGTCAGCCTCCCTGGTGGTCCCCCAGGACCATTCCTGGAGAGACAAGGTGGCCATGAGCACCCACCTAACCTCCCGGGACAGATGCTATCTCTAAACAGCTTGCTCTAGGAATTTGGTGGCTTGCCAACCAGTAGCATCTCCATGGTCAACACAGCTCCTGCGGAGGCAAGTGTTGCTTTGCCTCAGCCATAATGGTGTTTTGAAG